GGGGTAAGGTTGCTGAATTTGGTAGTTTTGATTTGAATGGTTGGGAGTGGAATATTAAGACTAGGAGGAATCTATGCGATTGGGAAGTGGCTCAGCTGGTTGATCTATTGGACAAGCTCAATGTTATCAAATTAAATGAATCTTTGGAGGATTGCATGCTTTGGGTTGGTGCGGGCGAGGGTTTGTATTCCGTTAAAGCTTGCACGAAATCTTTCTACTCAGTGGATGAGGATAACTTTAGGTGGAACAAATGTGTTTGGCAAGGTCTGGTTCCTCCTAGAGTAGAGGTTTTCCTTTGGCAACTATCACTTAATAAAGTAGCGGTTAGAGGGGAATTGAAGAAAAGGGGGGTTCACTTAGGGGAGGACTCTCTATGCCCCTTTTGCAATCAAGCAGAGGAATCAGTTCAGCATCTGTTTATTTACTGCCAGTTTTCCTGGGTACTATGGAACAGAATCATAGCCTACTGGGGTATCAAGTTAGCCTTACCTACTGATCCTTCATCAATTCTAATTTCATGGTCTGTTCTTAGGCCATTTTCTAATATGTGGAAGTTTATTCCGGGGGCTGTTTTATGGTCGATTTGGAAGATGAGAAACGAAATTGTTTTTGAAAGAGGCAAGCTGGACACATCCTCATTGTTTTTCACAGTCAGGTTAAGGCTTGCGAAATGGTTCCTAGCTAAGTATCCTTTATCCTCTATTCAAGTGGACTCTCTAATTGGTGATCCTTCATTGGCTGATAATATTTCAGCTTCTCTGATTCGAACAGGCCTGTGGTTTACTGGAGTCCTCCTCCAGTCGATTTTTTTAAGTTTAACGTGGATGGAGCAGTTAGTAGGGTTGGGTTGTTAGCAGGAATTGGGGGCATTCTTAGAGATTGGAATCGGATTAAATTGATGTCGTTTTCAGAAAAAATAGGGCCTACTCCTATTATTTTAGCAGAGTTAAAAGCTATCAAAAGAGGAATAGACATCTTTGTGTCATCAGAATGGGTATTGAAGGGAAGGCTTATTATTGAATCTGATTGCAAGCTAGCTGTGGAGTGGTTGAAATATCAGGAGTCAGTTCCTCCTTTTCTTTTAAATTTTGTCAAGGATATTGCGGATGCGGTTTCTGAGTATGAGGTCATTGTGAGGTGGATTCCGAGAAGCTGTAATTGCGAGGCAGATTTGCTTGCAAAGGAGGGGATTGGGTAGTGGGTCACTTTTTTAGTACTGAGTTCGGAGGTTTTTAATCAAGGCGTTATAAGAGTGTGCTTAAGTTTTATGTATCTTAAAGGAGTGGTTCTAGTTTTATGTAATTTTTTACATTATCAATATATTAAGGTTCTCTATTCCTCCTTCCCCTAGTAGGTTCTGACCTCATGGTAAGGGCTACTTAGAAGGAGGTTTTTATGAGACCTACTTTTCCTATCAAAAAAAAACAAATGCCATCGCTGTCTTTGCGGGCATCGCAGTTGGTTTTGTGCATTTTGATTTCATGAATTAATAAATTAAAACTTTTAGTAGTTTTACCCCAGGGAATCTCTTTGGTATTGTTTCTTATGTTTGCCACAATATTACCATGTATTAGATTTTTGTTTGAATGTATTTTCCTGTTAATTTCTCTGATATGAAAGGATGTTTTATTCATTTTGAATCTTGCAGAAATAAAATGTCAAGCCTAGAGAAAGAGCGCCAGGATTTTCTGTCAACTATTGAAGCTCTTCAAGAAGGTAAGTATGCAACTATAAGGGGTGTTTGTCATAATAGTATTTAGCAATATGTAAATTTTTACATTTTTTCCCTATAATAGCCATATGCTTTCTATAAATTCTTCTTATTCATTTAATACAGAGAAGAAGGTACTCCATTCGAAGCTTAAAGATGCTTTCTGCAGTGGAAAGTCTGTCGAAGTTATCAAGAATACTACCAGTAAGAAGGATATGTCAACTTCAACAGAAGATCTAGGTAATTGCGTTGCTTTTTTTTTTTATAGGCATCTACATGCATAAATTACCGTACCCTTTTTTACTGAAGCCAAATCCAGTTGCATATGGCAAGAAACTGCAACGTATTCCCAATTCCAAAACATACTATTGGGCTGAGACTCAGGTCAATTTCTCCTTGAAGTCCTATGATGCTTTAACTCTTATTTGAGGTTATGGCTATGGTATGTCTTGTAGGTTGGGTGCATGGGATTAGGTGTAGTTTTATTATTTTACATATTGGAAGTGTTGCTCTTGTGCAGGATTTGGAGTAGGTAGTTATCAGGATGCGGATAAGTTACTTCAACTCTTGAGTTTTTGTAATGCATTCATAGCACACATGAGCCTGATGCTTCAGAGTACGCATTGATATAAACATATCATCCTACATGGACGTACAAATAAGAAAACTTTAGGACAACTTAGTATTTGTGCTAGACCAATATCAACATCCATATTTGAACTTGATTTTGAGTTAAAAGGAAAATCAAATACATAATCGTTGCAGGGGCATCAAGCTCCAGTACTTCAAAGCCGTTCTGATAAGTCTGGTAGTGATTGTAGTAGTTATGGTGATTCTTTCAAGTTGCTTTGATTTCTATGGTCCTTTGTTTTAATTTTGATTTTATTTGTTGCATTTTTGCAGCAAGTTCGGACACTACTTCTGATGACAAGGAACTAAATATCAGTACTGATGCCTCTACTGCGAGCTTGCTGCCTGAAAATGGAGGATTAAAAGTTTCTTCTGTTTATATTCCTCCTGATCAATTGAGAATGATTCTGAACATTAATTCTCTAATTTCTGAGGTAGATTCTTTTACATGTTTAAGATTTTCTTCTGGTTTTTATATGTTTTACTTGGTCATAATCACTGGACCACCTTTTTCTTGTTGCAGTTAACAATGGAGAAAGAAGAACTGACTCATGCTTTGTCATCCGAGTCATCTCAAAGTGCAAAGCTGAAGGTAATATACCTGAACTAGACATATAGTCATTATTTCAAGTATTTGTGTTAGTTTCATTTGGTTCTTGTTGCTAGGTATCATATTAGAATACATAGAAAATTTTTAACAGATTGAAAAACTTGATGGTGGAATGTAAGAACATATTTTAATCAGAGCAGCTACTTAAAGGCACAGTATTTGTAAGTATTATTATATTTTCAGTTATTTTCTTGCTGACTATATTTCCATTTTCTTCAATTCGGTCATATGAATTATTGTTTCTATTCCTAAATGAATTATTGTTTATGATTTACTTTGTCTATAACATTGTTAATTAAAAATGAAGGAGTTGAACGAGGAGTTGTCTCGGAAACTTGAACTGCAAACTCAAAGATTGGAGCTTCTGACAGCTCAAAGTCTGGCAAGTGAGAGTATCCTGACTAAACAACCTGTGTCTCGAATAATTCACGAGATTACTACTCCATATGCAGATGAGGGTGATGAGGTACCACCGTTCTCTCGTGTTAGTTATTTTTATTCTAACGTTATGATTGTAGGTTTGAAGAGGCACTCTTTTGCACTTTTAAGTCATCTTACGGGAATATTGAGCCTGCCGTATATATTAACGTTTAATTCAACCTTGCCAAAAATCGATACACGCAGATATCCGAGAATTTCAAACATTTAAAGTTTTTAATTTCTTTGTAGGTGGTGGAGAGGGTATTAGGATGGATCATGAAGCTCTTTCCCGGAGGGCCATCAAGACGGAGACCCAACAAGCGCTTTCGTACTAAATCCACGTAATCTTGGCAAAGACAGGTCTAAACTTGCATATACTTTTGTTCTGGTTTGCCTTCCCTTGTTTTGGTGGTTGTGAGGGAGGTTGCGAATTCATATAGCTTGAGTCAATTATACACAACTCATTCTTTTTGATAGAAGCAAAAATTAGTTAATGTTGATCGCGCTACCATTGATCAGCAAAATCCAAATGTCAGTTTGTTAAAGAGGGGTATAAGGAAGGCCCTCGCCATTGTCGGTTTTCATTTTCGGGATCAAACATTGATGGGGGCAATCACTCGATGCTGAGAGGAACTAAGCGACATATGGTATAGGAAAGATCCCTAAGTTTGTAGCGTGCATTTGTTGGATCTATGATGAACAAATTTGGGTCCTTAAAAAACAGTTGATTCTGTTGCCTTCACTGTGACTTTGCTTTGATGCATCTTTAGTCCATAAGAAGGTGGCCTTGATGCAAATATCAAGTTTTTTAATTAAAGACATTAAATTCGAACTCGAATTTGAGTTTTGGCTAGAACTTGAAGTTGAATATGAGAATCCAACTATTTATTTTACATGACAGGTTTTGGGTTATTTAGATTATATCAAGTTCGTTTTGGTTCTAACATTATAGACATCAATCTTTGTCGATGAAATGTATAAATTCAACTACTTGTTACATTTGATTTGACCATCTAGCTGTTCTAAAAACTAATTTAAACACTTAGATCAAAGATATTGAAAATTTTAATCACTTGATTGTTAGCCACTAATGATTAAATGATAACACAAAGTTAATATCTATAATTTTATACATTGTACTATCACAATTTATAACATTTTTTAGCATGTCACGTGGAATTAAAATGTATAACTCGTTTTCTCTTCCACCTCTCCATCAACAGAATTTGGAAGTTCTTTCTTTGTCAAAAAATTAAAGGGAATTCGAAAAAATATAATTTTTCACAAAAAAATAATGAAGGTTTTAGGTCCATTTCATAATTTTTAGAAGAAAAATATCCAATCATAAAGTTGTTAAATATTTAATAAAAAAAATAGTCAAAATAAGTAAAAATCAAAAGTTCAACGAGTAAATTAAAAAAATTAAATTTTAATGATCAAAATAGGAGTGAAGACAAAAGTTAAGCGATGAAATTCGTAATTTATCCAAATTGAAATTAAATTAAGAAATGATTATATATTTATGTGATATATTAAATTGGAAAATTATATATTAATGTAGTAGAATTAAAATAAATAAATTATGTTATTGTGTAGCAGTGACAAATAAAAAATCTTGATTCCTAAATTATATTTTTGTGTAGCAAGCACATGACATGACCCTAGTATGTTTCCATCATCTCCATCCATAAACGCTGCAATGCAAGGCGATGTATCTCCCTGAAATATCAAATTGCAGACAGCTTTGGATAAGAAAGGTAAAACCAGACAACTTTCAACCTTATTTGAATTAAACACCACAATACATGCATGAAATGAAGATAGTAGATCATCATATTACCTCTGAACCCAGTCAAACTTGAAGACTTTACAAGCCTTTTTGCGAATCTCATTGTCAACATGATACAGTAAATGGTCCATCTTATTCCAATCCTTTGCATCACTAATCATTTGTGCATAAGGATTCATTCTTCCAGTTGTGCCTTTAGTTTTATCAGCTTCTCCTGCTTTTTGAATATTTTCAAGTCCTTCTAAGCAGACTTTGATTATATTCAGATCGCGGCAGTTGAGAAGATCACACAACGGTTTGATGCAACCTTGACTTACAAGAAAACTGAAACATTGTGACATATGCCCCCAGGTGAGGTGCTTTATTAATGCTTGTCCACCAAGAAATTATTCCAAACAAAGAATATGTATATATGGGAAATCATTTTCATACTTGATCTGAACATGAGTCCCGTGAGATGTGGCATTTGAGATGGCCCGCGCAGCTTCTCCTTTAATATCAAGTGTTTCACCACTTTGTAGTAGATGAACCAGATGAGCAATAATATCAGCTTCTATCACAGCCTGTAAATTTCAAACCATTTCATTATATAAATGAACACAGACACAATGTTAAATCCAAAATCGATAAAACCAAGTGAAATAGATATCAAGGACAAAAAATAAAATAAAAGAGGTCCAAATGTTACTTGTATATGCACCTTATGTTTTGCTGTGGTATTTTAGATGGTCCGGCAAGCTTCCTTCTTGATGCTTATTTTATGCTTATTTGTCAGAAGTTTCAAAAGGCATGGCAATGCCTGATGGCTTATAATACACTGTACCCATAAATGAGAAAACACAAAATGGTTCATATTATATATAGACAAAATGATAATCAACATAAAACAAAAGTGGCTAAGACCTGGGTTTGCACATCATCTGCAGAGGCAATATTTCCAACTGCGCGAAGAGCAGGTTTCAGCACCGAAAGTGATGGATGCCTATGGAAGCCAAGTAATTTATTATTTTGGTAAGGAAAAAAAAAGGAAATATAAAGACTTTTAGAATGAATCAACGTAAAATAGTGTAACTCACTGCAAAAGTTCCACCAGACGCCTGCATACGCCAGCTTCAATGACGGTTTGGATTTCAGCATTTGTGCCATCAGAAAGATATGAGTGCCCAACATGCATCAGATAGGAAATGTTCATCATTTGAATGAATAAGACGTGCTAATGTTGGAAGTGCAGGCTTAACCTGAATAATTAGTACAATTATAATAAATTCAGCTCTGCTAGTGAATTAAGTATATAAAAATTTCATAGCTACATAACAATTCTCAACATTCTTTAGCCACTGTATTAGATTTCAAAGATCTAAGACAATAATTTTGCATTGTAAAGCAATAACGCTAAACGTGAAGTAACTTGTTAATTCATGTTAAATAAACAATTGTTAACCAAAAAAGGAGGGAGGTCGGGTCAAACCTGAACAAATGGGGGCAGGGGCTTGCCACGAAAAAAGTTTAACAGGGTCCATGTAGCAATTCTCAGCACAGAAAGTTTAGGATGCTCATTCAAATGGGCCAATAAAGGAAGCAAAGCACCATGTCCAAGTGCAACATCACGACTTGCAGGAGAATCACCAGCTACATTTCCTAATGCCCAGATCGACTGAATTCCAAAACACAAAGAATATATGATTCATACCAGCTTTTTCCAAGTAAGATTATAAAACTACTGTAAGTTCATTTCCTATGAATACCTGCTCGCGAACATCATCACTTGGGGAACCAAGTAACTTGACTAGTATCGGAACAGCCCCATGATCAATCACCACCTTCGTGTTCTCAGATGTCCCAGAAGCTATATTGGTGAGTACCCAGGCTGCCTCAAACTAAATCATGATTAAATTAGCAACAGTCTTAAACTAATGATGGCATAACGTTGAAGCTTTTCTGACAGGAAATCCAACCTGAATCTTTGGGAAATCTTCACTCTCAAGGAACTCAACAAAGCGAGGAACAACACCAGCTTGTATCACTTGGTCAATAGGTGGACCTTTTTCTATGATAAAAAATAAATGTAATTGAAGTATATAATTTAAGTTTTATATGAATATCAAATGAAATATATTTCAGAATAATTTTCTCACCAATTGAAAGCAATTCCCTGAACTGTGTGGTTGCCTTAAGCTGCAAATTAGTATCATCAGTCCAAACACCAGTAACCATGGCAGGAACATTTTCCAGCTGAATTGGCTGTGGTTGGAGCCCTTCACGTCGCTTCTTCTGCAAACTCTCTTCACAGCTGACGTCCTCTACCTAACAGCAAGGGCAAATCATGTTACAGATTTGTCACTGCAAAATAAAGTAGTGCTTTTTTTTAGATTTCAAAAGTTATAGATGTTATTAACTTACTTCTCTTTTAACAATGCATTCTATGTGCGCCATTATCCGTCCGTTACTTCTTTACAATAGTATACATGATCTTTTGGGTTTCTCTCTTTCTCGCTAAAATCACAATAATACAATCCAGAATCATCTTCAACAAAAGAATCGGTCAGGGTTAGAGGATGACGATGATATTTGGATTGAACAACCTCTGGTATGGGAACACATTTCAAATGAAAGTTAATGGAACACTGTAGACAACGATAAAAGGGCTCTTCTTTGCAGGTATTTTCACATTTATGACAAGCAAAATGTGTTTCCCATGGTATATAGTTGTCTTTTGCACGGAGTAACTGATAATCTTTCCCGAAATAATAAAGGTCATCTAAGTGGGACTCGCATTTCAAGGGTCTCTTTAAGTAATTAGCACATATAGGATGGAGGTCAAGTTGACAATCTTCACAACTATATGCGAAGTTTTCTTTTTCTATGCTCAAAGGGCAGGCATAACATTGTGGGTTTGAACGTTCCTCTGGTTGTTGAAAAACCAACATGTGTTTTAGATGAAATGGGACTTGAATCTTTTGTGGTAGCCTAAGGCAAGACTCGGGGCAAAAATAGGCTGGGCCAAAGATTGAAGATTCACAAATTTTGCATCTTGTTTCTTCTATAGGGTCATTAGAGTAGCCAAGGACAAGCTTATGTTGGTGGCTGAAATGGTGCAACTCGGTTACTCTATCCATCCTTTTTTCTTGAGAAACCCCAAGTTCATGAGCAGTTAGAGCAGAGCATTTCACACCAAGCTTGAAATTACACTGCTCGCAAAAATATATGAAGCCCTCACAAATGTATTTACACTCATCACATGTAGCGTATATTTTTGTCGAATCCATTATTTTATAAAGAAGATATTGGAGTCCAGTATAGAGGTTAAGAGGATGGATAGAATGAAAAGGGTGTCGTATCTCGTATTGCAATTTGGCGCATTTTTCATGCAGGTAAAAGCCACATCCTTCACAGAAGTAGCTAGGACCATCAAGTACCAGAGGAACCTCGACAATATTTATAGCCTTTCAACTCCTCGGTTACCTCATATATTTCGTGTTTGTGGATGATAGGTCGAAACTGCATTTAAAAAGAAACAAGTAGATCAAAGGATGAACAAATTAATTTCTTGAGAATTTTATATAGTTTGTGGAGTGAGGTTATTGTTTAGGGGGTAGAAGGCAGTAAGCATTGGGTTGCTATGTTTTCTGTTTTGGTTATGGAGCTCTCATGTATTATGTTTTGCAATGATATTTCATTTTGAATGAGCCAAAAAAGAAGAATTTTGAATTTAAAATTAGTTAATGTGTAAATAGTTGCAAACCAGAGCGTGGATGCCATTACTCCCTTCATTCTGCTCCATTTCCTTCTCAGACAAAGCTTCCTCGCTTTCCATGGAGGATGTAATTTGATCCTATTCATCAAACAAATATTAATCATGAGAGCTCAATCAAAGCCAAGACCTTCACAAATTTAATTCGTACATAAAAAAATCATTTGAAAATAGCAAAGACATTAACAATCCGATAATAAAAATTTCCCCTTTGATTGTAAAAATTAAATTGAACGGTGAAAAGAATTATTACCTCATCAACATCAGGGAGTACACATGGAATATGAGCCACAAATATGCAACTTTGACAGTAATACACAGGATGCTTCGGATCCTTTTCGTTCTCACAATCATCGCAACAAAATTCATCAGAATCATATTCTTTGACCGATTCGGTTAGAATAAGTGGATGCCTATGATACTTTGATGTAGCTTTGGATGGTACAACACATTTTAGATGGAAACTAATATCGCATTGCACACAACGACAAATACAATCACCACCACCGCAATGCTTGCCACAGGTACGGCAATCCAACTCAGAAGTACCTCTGAAGTAAGCGAGACGGTGAGGGTGGCAGGCAAGTTTTAGGGTGGGCAAGAGTTTAGCACAGTCCATATCAATGCAGAAGCTGCACATCTCGCACATATACAGAAGATCACCAAAATAAGGGTGACTTGGTTTACAAGAAAAGCAATACCAATACACGTAGGCATCATAGATTAAGCGAGAGTGTGGCCAGGAATATGAAAAGGATGAGCAAGTGTGCTTGGTATCTTATCACTGCATCCGGGGTGAAGATAGAACTTGCATGGTAGACAACCATAGCACACTCTCGATAGATGTTTTTCACACCAGAAACAATCCAAGTCTTGTTCGTGTATCTTCCTATATTTGAAGACGCTCAGCTGGCAAGTATGGTGTAAAGCTGGATTGTCTTTCTCTTCCCGTCTTTAAACCTCAGCGGCTCTTCATCTTTAGGAAGCTCAGTACCACTGGCCGAAGAAGCACAGGCGAGATCAAGTGTGAAATCGCAGGAAACACAGCTGCATCTGTAGCCAGCAGATATATACAAACATTTATCACAAATGAAATCATCATCAAGCCATTGGAGTTGAAGTCGGTGCTGCAGGTGGAGGGGGTGCGTAATCTCATGATACAGATTACGACCAGGCTTTTTAACCGCGCATGACTTGTGCAGGCAAACATCACAGGCTTCACAAGCAAAGGCACCATCGGAGACGGATCTTCCCTCCACATTCTTGACAACATTTCCCTTCAACGTTCTCAATATATCTATAGCAAGAGTGATCACATTTGCTGGGACGTTGGAAATCCATCTCAAAGATGGAAAATGTAGGAATTGATGTGAAAACAAAGAGTGTGATGAAAGATAGAACAATGATATGAAGGCAATTGTGTTATGTGAGGGAAAACACATGTTGGCACCTAAAGTATAGTTTAGAACAATTCATTTCTTCAGCGATGGGAACACGCAAAGTGTATATGCACAAGTTGCGTAAAGGCAACAACTTCCCATTCCAAATTTGAAGAATAATTCATTTCTTCAGTAAAGTATATATGCATCAGCAGCTGTGTAAAAGCAACAAGCTTTGATTAAAAATTTAAACAGATTGTGGTTCCTGAGATAATTGATTTAAACAAATTTTCAAAATTCTGAGATAATTGTTAGGGATTTAATCAATTTTCCAAAACCTTTGGAGGTATAAAATACTTCAAAACTCTTACAATCAACACAAATCCACTGCGTTTCTTATAAAATAACTAAAATAGTACATCAAAAATAATTTTCCAAAACCTTTGGAGGTATAAAATAATTTTATACATTTAATTGAAGGGCTAAACTAAAAATCTTACCAATTTCAGAAAATAAAAGTAGCCTTGTGCCTTTTAACTGTAGTAGGTAAGGAATTTTGGAGCTTCAAAAGTTAATAAAGTTACGTCATGAATGATGCATTTCATTTAATTGTAGTTGGTATGAATCTTTGTAATTTTCATGTTGGTTTTAGGTTTATGTTTGAACTTCAAAGTCTATATCTACATCTTTTAATACTATTGTTTTTTTTTAAATTAATAGTTTAAAGTGATTATAAGATAAGATTTGTTTAGAATTTTTATAGTCATTGATAACGTATACACATTTTATAAACATAATTATTTAATTTAAAACTTCTAAAAAATAATATTTTATTTTCTCACAAATGTCGCTTAATGAATTTTTTATTTTTATAAATTCCTTCTCTTTATGTAATATTCTGTGTCCGCCTATAGTTATATAATATTATCTTCTATTTTTCAGGACTCTACGGCTATATTATAACCATGAACATTTTCTTTGATACGAGCTGTTCGATGAAATGCTGACTCATGCGTGAGATACTATTAGCTTCGATGAACGTCACCCCCTCTGCCATTCATCATCCATGGTGGGATGTATTCATCATTGTCTGCCATTCTTCTATTTCCACCACCGCCATTTGTTGTTCATGGGGTCCATCATTTTCCAACTACTTCAATTATCATTATTTTATTATTATATATTAGTATAATGATAAAATTAATACTAAATATTTATTTAAATAATCACTTTAACAATAATTCATTTTTATGACGCATTTTAATTCTTAATATCTTATTCTTTTATCAAAATAACTCATATTTGATGAATTTTTAATTGATTAACGTTTAATGTATGCTACTAACATGTAATTTCTATATTTGTTTAATTATGAAGTGGCATGTGATATGTTATTATTTTTGTGATGTGATGTATATTTCATCATCATTTTTTGTGACGTGATATATATATATCATCTTTAGATAACGTGATACATTTTATGTCATTATTTTAAATGATGTAACATATATAATATCATTATTTTAGTAACATAATATATGTCACATCAATAATTAAACACATAAAAAAATAATAAACAATTACCTGAATTAATTATTAGTTATCTAACTATTTTTCTCTAAAATTATAAATTAAAATATTAGAGACTAATTTATGATTATATGTCTATAATAACAACATCGTTTCAAACACCAACTTATCCACTTTGCGTGCTTTCCCAACCTACTCCACTTAGCCGTTCATTGCACTTTAATTATTGTAAATGGTTTTGCAACTACAAGACAAGTCTACACTTTCATTTCAAATTAGATTTAGAACTAAACGCAAATTATTTTAGATTAAACTAAACTTATAAATTGTATGAATTTTAATAAATAATAATTATAATTATATTAAATCACATTATTATACCATTTAATATTTGATGATAGAATAATTTATTTATAATCATATTTTAATTAAATAATTTATTTATATTTTTTTAGAAAAATATTTTTATTATGAAACTCATAATTAAATGACATTAAATATAATAAAACTAATATTTGAAAATCAAATTAAAACAAGACTCATAATTTAAGAACTCAGTGTGCAATTAACTCTTTGTTTATTACCAGAAACATTTTAACACATACATGCAATGTTCCTGGTCCTTAGTCCGATTTTGATGCTAACATCTCCTCTCTCCGACGCTTTAACATAGCAATCATCTTAGCACGATCAGGCAAGTTTTCTTTGATCAAAGGGACTGATTTGAAATTTTGGATCCACGAGCTCAGTTTAGGGAGCTTGTGTGGTTCAAGTACTTTAAGCCCTGAAAATTCTTCGATGACTCCAAGCCAGTGAGCGACCGAGCAAAATGCAATGTCCACCATGCTTATCTCGTCTCCTCCGAAGAATTTCTTGCCTTCGATCAGCCCGTGTCCTCGATGGTTTCCAACACTTTCGAGCACTCCTTCGCAGCCTGCTCCTGTTCTTCGCCGTCGGTTCGGAAAAGCCTTCCGATCAGAGTCTGGTAGAAGAGATGAGAAGTTTCAGTATCATTATACAAAGTATAAACAAATAGATATAAAAATCAATTATTAATTGATTTAAAGGGATGGTGTATTAAAATTTTAAATTAATATCCAGGATTCGAATATCGATATTATAATAAAATGAATTAAAAATCATTGTATTACATGTCTCTAAACTGATTTTCTTCTTAAATTAATTCCAAAACTGATTTCCATAACTCTTATTCTAAATTTATAAAAAAAATTAAAGATTTCAAATTCAACCTCAATAAATTAAAAATCATTCAAAAGTTTAAGGATGAATCAATAATTGAAGGACCAATATAGAATGAGAATCAAAATATAAAGATGAATTTAGAATGTTAAAAATTTTGGATGAAATTGAAATGTTAAAAAGTTTGAGGATTAATTTAGAATAAAAATTATAACTTAGGGACATATATACAATTAACTCAATAAATTAAATTAAAAATCATTTCGATGATAAAATTCTACTATATTCAATCTAAAATCTAAATCAATCAATACTCAATAAAAGAGAAATAGTAAACTGCGAAAAAATCAAATGCAAAAGAAGAAAATTAAAAAAATACCATATCATCAGCGAATTTAATCCAAAACAGAGCACGTGCTTTCTCGTAGGGATCAGTCGGCAACAAGGGATTGTGCGGCCAAATTTCATCGATATACCGGAGGATGACGGTGGACTCGCAAATGGGTTTTCCGTCGTGAACGAGCACCGGAACTTTCTTGTGAATCGGATTATACTGAAGAAGTAAAGGACTCTTATCGGAGAGATCTTCGTCGATGTATTCGTAAGATATGCCTTTGAGTTTCAGAGCACAAATTACTCTGAAAGTGAACGGACTTAGCCAAGATCCGTGCAATTTCACGGCCGCCATGATAAGGGGAGATTAATTGAATATATGTGGTGGATCGTGAGAGGGGTGAGAGTAACCCTTTATATAATATGGTGGTCCAATTATTCTATGTCATGCATGATGTAATTTTGAATATTTTTATAAATACTTTTTCCTATAATTTATATTATTTCTATTTTTCTTTTGTGTGTCTTTAATCATGATTTGAAGTCTCCACTATACCATTTGAGATTCGTTTGGTTTATGCAGCTTATTATTTGGGGTAAACTAATTATTTGATCGAATTCCTATTATTTAATTTCTATTTTGGTATTAATTATTATTTTTATAAAATCACATCTAATATTATTTTTTATTCTGTTTTAATCATCAATCGTTAAAAAAATAATTGTAATGTTGACGTGATATTTTTTATTTTTTAATGTTAACGTTGTATTATTATATTGTGATATGTCAACATCATTGTTAATTTCTCAAGTGACCAAAATAGAATTAAAATATAATGTTAGATATGATTTAAAAAAATAATTGTGTGACTAAAATAGAAATTAAGTAACAGGTGAATGACCAAATAGATAGTTTACCTTATATTTTGATATATATTGTGTATCTATGATCATTTTTTGAAGTCTTTACTATAGCACTTTAAATGTATTTTATTTCTACAACTTTTGTATTATATGTTAGATTGTATGACTAGTATATTGGAAACTTGATTTTGATTTAAATAAACTAGCTTTTAAAAAGGAATTATTTTCGCTTAAGGTTCCATTTCCTTGCTTGTAATAATAATACAAACTATAATTCATAAGATAATTTTAACACAGCAAAAATGAAATATTAATACTTTTAATTTATTTGTTG